TATACTATTACAAAGTTTTGTACTATTTGCTCTATTAATTCTATTTCTTCAGATGAAAGTTCTTTCATTTCTTTGACTGGTTCCACTGTCATGGTGCTAGTTTTCTCTAAATATTTGCTTTGCTTTGAGTAAATATTTTTATTTCAGATTCTCTGATATCCTCACCGCTGTTGTGAGGTGCTGTCAAGTCAATTTTCAACTCATAACAACCCAATATGACAGAGTAGAACTGACTAGGAATACTAATCATATTCATTTACCTCAGCCTAGCTCCAGTAATCATAGAGGAAAAGACAGAGCATACTGCCTGAATTATCTTTCAGACTCTAGATATAATAGTCATTTCCTGTGGTGTGGCTAACCAACCAGGACATTTCTAAGCTCCCACACTGCTCCTAGCTCCAGGGCTGCTGCTTTGACCCATGGAGGCCAAGGATAGAGAGATGTTAAATCCCTATGAGACATTCTCCCACCAAATCTTCCTGTTTTTGCCTCAGGGCCATCTCCTATTTCAGTACTCAGATAAGTACTACCTGAGACCTGGGAGCATCCTTGGACCACACTCACCCCTTAAGATATCTGTCCTATGTGTGTTTTGGACTTTGGTTTATATCTTTAATTTGACCCTCTCTGCCTTCTGCTTTTCTGGAATTCCTCATAGTCTAGGGACCATTGAGTGTGTCTTCCCCTATTCCCCCTCATTCTTACAGATTTATTCATTTTTATCTTTACTGTCAAATCCAAGGATTTGGGTCAAGGGATAGAAGTTATGTCTTCTCAGTCACCTTCTTCACCCAGATCTCCCACACCTGCCCTCTTATTAGGCCAGAGCTGGCAAACATGTGTCAGGTCTGAAGCCTGATCTCCACTCACCACAGAAGACCTGACTAATCAATCTCCAGCCTCTTTCTGATGGTGTCCTGCACACTCAGAGAACTCCTCAACAGTTAAGGCCCACCCCCTCCTAGTTTCCTACCTGAATTAGCGGTGGGGCAGGAAAAGGAATGAGTCCTAGCCCTTGTATTAGCTAATGTCCTGACCCCAGAATAGGTTTACTATTCAGCCTAGCAGTCAAGAGGAATTGCTTCTGCTCATAGCCACTTTTTCTGCCTCCATCAATTAGGAATATTGAAGGATCCTTTACAACGCATGGGTTCCAAGGGTGTATGTCTCTAAAATATCTTGTTTGTTTGTTTTTAATTGAGTAACAACTGGTAACTAGCTGTATCAAGACAAGGTGGAGGATAGGGCCAGCCCTGTAGGAGTGTTTAAGCCAAAAGGAGAGAACAGACTGTATATCTGGCACAATTAGAAGTTGATGTCCGACAGAGGAGACTCTCCCAGGAGCTTGGTGGTATAATATAGACCGTTGAAGAAGCAGGAGTTCAGAGTGGCAAGAGAGCTGAAATAGGAGTGGTCAGTGAAGGTTTTCTAGAGCCAAATATATCAGAGTAAGACCTGGAAGGATGGGTGGGATTTATTAGTACTGAGATTAGGGAAAGTGCATGCTTGTTGTTTTTCCCAGGAGAATCCTTGGCCCCCTCTGCTGCTGTTCTCTTGTTGTTGTTGTTGTTGTTATGTGCCGTCGAGTCGGCCCCGACTCATAGCAACCCCTCCTTGGGTTTCCGAGGCAGTTATCACTACGGAAGTAGGATTGCCCAACCTTCCTTCCGAGGAGTGGCTGGTGGGTTTGAACCGCCAGCCGTCTGGTTAGCAGGCAAGTGCCTTAGCCACTATGCTACCAGAGCTGTTCTCTTAGGCCACTTAATTTTAGTGGTGGCCTCACTTGCCCAGGACATTTTATTTTAGTGTAGAACTACCATTTGTTTTTATTAAAAAAGTTTTACTTAAACACAGCCATGCCCATTCATTTATATGCTGTTTATGGCTGCTTTCATGCTGTAAAGAGTTGTATAATTGCAAGAGACTACTCTGGTAGCATAGTGCCTAAGGCACTTGACCGCTCACCAGAAGGCTGGCGGTTCAAACCCACCAGCCACTCCTCGGAAGGAAAGTTGGGCAATCCTACTTCCGTAGTGATACTGCCTCGGAAACCCAAGGAGGAGTCGCTACGAGTCGGGGCCGACTCGACGGCAAACAACAACAACAACAACATATGACCCACAAGCCTAAAATGTTGGCTAAAATGTTTACAAACAAAGCAGTAGGTATTGAGTTGATTCTGACTCATAGCAACTCTTATAGGACACAGTAAATAAAAAAAATTAAAAATCCACTACCATTGAGTCGATTCCAACTCATGGCAACCCCCATTGGGTTTTTGAAGTAGATTGCCTGCAGAGTGGCTGGTGGATTTGAACTGCCAGCCTTCTGGTTAGCAGTCAAATGCCTTAGATAATGTATCACCAGAGCTCCTTATAGGACAGAAGAGTAGCAGTGCCCATAAGGTTTCCAAATCTGTAATCTTTACAGAAGCAGACTCTTTCTACCTAGGAGCAGCTGGTGGGTTCCAACCACTGACCTTTTAGTGAGCAGCTAAGCCCTTAACCATTGCATCACCAGGCCCCTGGTTGTTTGTAGAAAGTATTTGTTGTTCTCTGTTTTAGTGATTGAAAAATCTACAAATGGCTACAGATTTCTGGGGTCTGACACACTGAAATTGTATACCTTGATTCTCAAAGATAAAATTAATTCAGCCTAATAACATAATGACGTCCTCATTTCATTTACGGTGTTTTCCCAGTATCTAGAATAATAACTTGTAGATGACTGACAAAATGAATATGTGAACCACTAAGAAACAATTTGCTTTTTGTTTCGTGTTTCTTCTTCTCTCCTTCCCCCAGTCATCATCTGCTATGTCTACCATAGGATATACAGAGTGTGGATCAGTCTAGAAGCAGAGACTTCCACTAGTGATAGCATGGTCACTGCACACCTCAGGGCAGAGCCCTGGACAGCTCACCAAGGCAGGGCTGGTCTCCAACATGCATTAAAAATCATGATCTATGCCCTCCTTGGCTATCATTGTCCCAGACCCTCCTTCTGGCCCCACTGAGAGTCACACAGCTAAAAGTACAGAGTCAGACGTTCCCATCACTACACAACTATAGTACTTCTATTTGGAAATTCAAAAAATTTTTTGTTGTGAGTTGGGTAAAAGTTTACAGAACAAACTTGTTTTCCACTCAACAATTCATACACATTTTGATATGTGACATTGATTGCAATCCCCACAAAGTAACAGCACTCTTCCCCTTTCCTCCCTGTGGTTACTACATTTCCCATCCTCCTTCCTTCCTATCCCTTTCTGCCTTCTGAGATTTACCCCCCCCCAGGCAAATGCTGCCCTTTTGATCTCCTATGGTTGATTGTTTTAAGAAGTGTGTACCTCCCTGGTGTTATTACTCAGCTGATAGGCCCATCTATTGTTTGGCTGAAAGCTGAGCCACAGGGGTGAGTTTGGTTCCAGGCTTGAAGGGTGTTTAAGGGTCATAGTCTTAGCAGTTTCACCAGTCTCTATCAGATCAATCAGCAAGAGATTTTAAATTTTAACCCAGAAGAATGAATGTTTGGCAGTCAATTCTGAAACACCCAAGAAGGTCTATGGGGAATTCAGTTTGTGGCAGAAAAGGCTGTATGGAAGCCTGAAATCTGTGCCTGGAGGGAGAAGCCAACCTCTGTAGCCTGGCTTCTGGCTGGACCTCAAAGGATGTAACCCAAGGGCGCCCCATCAGCCCCTTCTGTTGTCTCCAACTCATTTTCAATTTGTGATAAAGTTATACCATATTTTCCCCTTTCCTTTGTCCTACTTTGGCCTTTTCACAACAGCTGGGCCATTTTTCACTCCTGACTCCAGTATACTTACTGAAAAATATATGTGCTGTTTTACATCTCCCAAACCACACACAGACAGAGCCATTTATTCAGATTCACAGCACTAGAAGACATATATTAGAGTCCCAAAGTATCATAATCAAAATTGGCCTCACTTTTGAGGGCTCATGGTTCCTCCTTCTCAACCCACATTTACATTCTTCAGAGAGTAGGGGCCCCTTCCCGCCCACATCTCTTAGAATAGGGTTTCAGAGAAGTAAACTATTCCATTTTCTGAACCACTAGGGAAGCCAGTTTGGAGAAGAGTCTTGAATAGTCCTTGTCCAAGTGTCCTGCTATGCCCCCACTTAGTCCAGGCAATCCTCAGCTTGCTCCTGGGGACCTGAAGCTAATTCCCACTCCTTTCTGCCTCTCTTCTGGCTTCCCTCCAGGCCTAGCTTCTTCCAGCTGATACATCTTCCTAGAACATGCCTTTCTCCTATAACCCTGCTGTTTAAAGCCTGTCAGGGTATCTTTTGAGGAAAAGTATTTGGAGTCACCAGACCTAAGTTTAAGTCCCAGCTCTGCCACTTAATGTTGCTATTAAGTATGCTATTTAACCTCCTTGAGCCTTTCCCATCTGAAAAATGGCATGATAAAACATCACCCCCAGAGCTCTTTAAGGTTAAGTAAGATGAAATATGCAAACTGCCAAGTACAGAACAGAATAGAGCCCTGTGGGGATGAGTTCCCATTTCCTGTTTGCTAGCCTGGCAAGAAGTACTGGCTACATGGCTGGCAGACTCCAATTTTGGACCTGTTGTGCTGGTGGCTACTTCAGCTTGCCTTAGTTCATGTAGAGTGAACATTGGGTGTTTGTTTTACCCCAGATGCTAGACAGAATATTCTGTGTAGGGCTAGGGGCTCTGTGGGAGCCCAGCCAACCAAAGCTGAGGTGTCCCATGGCCTCGTGCATGGTAGAGGTCAGCGGGACAACTCAGCAAGCCACATTAGGACTTTGTGCTTGAGTTTCTTGTTGTTCTGTTGAATTTGCAAAGGAAAGGAAGGTGTCTTTGGGTTGTGCTTATGACTTTTGGACCTGTAATCCTGAGAGTCATAAACCTGTCCACTAGGCTATAAAATCAGCTTATTCCAAGACAATCTCCCTGCAGCCTACTCCTTGACATCCTACACACAGCCAATCTGAACCAGAGGCCACCACTATGACAAGGGATCAGAATGGAACATGGGAGATGGAGAGTAACGACAACTTTGAAGGCTACATGAAAGCCCTGGGTAAGGGGGAGATGAAGGTGGAGGGGCGGAGGGAGGTGCCAGGAGAACTGTGGTCTGGCCCTTGGGCAGGGCCAGTGTTGTTCATCAGACCCATGTGCAAATTTTGGCTCTCACTTACTGGCTATGAGATAGCAGGTAGGTCATACAAATTGTCTGAGGTTCAAGTTTCTCATCTGTAAATTGGGAATAATAACAAATGAGATTATGTCTAGAATGCTTAGACATAATGCTTAGACATAGTACTTAGAAAACATGCACTAAATGAAGGATACATACACACATACACACACTGAGTAAAATCAAACTTGAGAAAATAATGTGGCCACTCTCTTGCCAGTTGGACCTGATAGTATCCATGAATGCTACCTGCACTGCACTTTTGCCAGCCTTCTGATGGGGAAGCAGAAAGGGAGTGGCCAATGAAACTCAGCCTAGGAAAAAAAATGCCCACAAAGGCTACAGGAGGCTTTTCTCATACAGATCAGACAACTCAACACTGACCTATCGTCTAAATCGGGCTCCAGGCCAGGGGCTACTGACAGCATGCATCCTGAGTGGATAGCACAGTAGGTCTCTTGTGAGTCTGGCAGAAAACACAGATCTCTGTCCTCCAGCCTGTGCACTCTACATGAAACCAGAGGAAGAGGGTCCATGGAGCAAAGTTCATAATTGCTGGGCAACTATCATGTGCTGGGCACTAGGCATGCGCATTAGGCAAAGAGCTCTGGCCATCTGTCCTTGTTTCATCCCTACAACAACTCATGCCTATTCCCGCTTTGGAGATAGAGAAAAGATCTCCATGTCACCTTTTTCAACTTTAAAATTCTCCACATGTAGAGTTACCTCGTTGAGACTTACCTTTGCACAGCAGAAGAAAAATGGCTGCAGATGGGGGTCAGAGGTCCAATCATCTGGACATGATGGTGCGCTGTCTCTTCAAGAATGAGAATCATAGTTTTCCTGTGCAATTAATTTCTAGAATATATCTACCATCAGTGAACAAGGAGAGCTGTGACATGTATCACAATTTTTGAGTTTGGAGCTTTCTTCATGGGCCTTAGATATGTTCCTAATACTGAATAGTTTTTATTTATTTATTTATTTATTTATTTATATTTATTTTTTTGCCTCCTGGCTTTCAGAATATTATCTGAATATACTTAGAAAGAGCATGAGGAAGTAAAAACTCTCCTACCAGACCTTGCTCCCAATCATGATGCCAATAAGTTTTTCCATACTACGTTGCTGTTATTAGGTACTGTTGAGTTGATTCCAATTCATAGCAACCCTATGTACAACAAAACAAAACACTGCCCAGTCAATAGCATGGTGGTCAATAAAAAGGAATTCTGGTTCTACACCTGGGCAAATTGTTTGGAGCAGAGCTCAGAATTGTAATGCTGAACAAGATTATACAGATGAGGAAACCAAAGCAGAGGGACCAACATAGCTGGGACCAGAGCCCAAGACTTGGCAGTACGACAGTGAATATTTCTTTTTTTCACCTTTCTGAACCTCAATTTCCTTCTCAGCCAAATAGGACCAGACTCACCTGTCTGTCTGGATAATGTTGGATATAGTTGTCATTTTGAACAATTGAAAGCACTTTAATTAGGGTTTTTCAACTTTTTCATGGTATCAGCAGTGTGCTGAACAAGCCTGACATGACTTTAGAAATCTCTGGTTGGTGCAAATGGTTAAGGATGCAGCTACTAACCATCACCAAAAGATTGGTGATTTGAACCTACCCAGAAATGCCTTGGAAGACAGGCCTGGTGATTAGCTCCCAAAACGTCACAGCCATGACACTGCTATGGAGCACAGTCCTACTCTGCACAATTGGGGTCTCCATGAGTTGGAATTGACTCAATGGCAACAGGAATAGTGACTTTGAAGTGTAAAATCCAGTCTCAGCCCATGGAGCCCCTCTTTCTAGGCTTCAGGTGAAAGGAAGCACCTCCATGACCACCTTCCCTCTCCAGGGAGATTGTGGGATGCAAAGCACATTTTCAGCTCTGTGTAAGAAATCCTTTCTCCAAAAGCAGCCTTCCTTTAGACTTTCACACCTCTGTGCACCTTCAATGCCTCTGGGGGGTTCACGAGTTGTGGGGGGCTCATGCAGTGTTTCGTAGGTATCTCCTTTATGATGTTTGGAGTGATGGTTCCAATTCTCCTTGGTATTGGATATCGGTTGTCTCTTACAGTTTCAGTCAAAGCTTCCAATTTAACATCATGTTACACTGATTTCCCTCCAATGAGCAAACTGACCTCTATGTACTAGGGTCTCTGCAATGTAGAGGGAGTGGGTTAACATTTCCCTGATTAAGATTACTATTATAAGTGTTGTTGTTGTTAAGTGCCTTCGAGTCCGACCCGACTCACAGTGACCCCTCCTTGGGTTTCTGAGGCAGTATCACTAAGGAAGTAGATTGCCCCATCTTCCTTCCGAGGAGTGGCTGGTGGGTTTGAACCGCCAGCCTTCTGATTAGCAGTCAAGTGCCTTAGGCACTATATAAGTGGTAGTTATAGCTTAATCCAGAATGTGAGTGTGCTTGGATACCTCAGTTTACACGGCTGATAGTAATAGTCCACAACATCTCAGGGCCCCAGGAACTTGCCTCAGCTCCAGGCCAGACTATGCAAACATGCCTCAGCCAGAGTCATTTTCCTGTCATTGAGACAGGATAACTGAAACCTCTCACCCGCCCATGTACATGGGTGGGGCAGGGACTAGCAGTGATTAAAGACAGTTCTCAAGGAGCTCAGCCAGAAACAACTTAGGTGGGGCTGCCTCTTCTATGTAACCTATTAACAACAACCTAGCAAATCCGTGGATTCCTCTCACAGTCAGGCTACCATAGGGGATGGTTTCCCCAAGTTGAAAAGTCAATGAAGCTTCCCTTCTTTGCCCTTTTCAGTACTGAGACTCTTGGCATTTGGGAAGAACATGCAAGGAGACCTTTGGAAATTTCTAGTTGTGTAAATACCACTAAGTATAACTCCATTCCCTGCCTAAGAACCGTCACTTTCTTAGACTCTTTGACTTTAATCATCAGCACTGGGTAGTTGGGTTTCTCTGCAGATCCACTTGCTGGTTCAGTAGGGAAGGAGAGATTCCTGTTGAAATACAGATCTGGGCAGCACAATGGCTTTCTGACTAGCTAAGTGACTCACAGCACACACTAGTCTCCTATATAATTCAGCTGTCAGCCTGTGCGGAGTGACACATCATAGCAACTTTTGGCTTTGCCCCAAATTATCAAAGTCATTAAGTGTGAAAAGTGTGAATGCCAAAGGTCATCGATACCTCCTCTCCTGCTTCTTGTATACCTGCTATTTCTAGAGGCCCTAGACTCTCTCTTGGCAGCAAGGAAAACAGCTGAACTATTTTACCCTGGGAAATACATTATGTCTTGAGGTTCTCCTTCAGTGTAATCCGAAGATGAGGGGTGGGAGCTGTGGTTTTTATTTTAAAAGGGAACCCGAAAGAGGGCAGATATGAGCATGGCAGGATGCTGGGGGAGATGTTGGGTCAGAAGTGAGGGCAGTGCTGCATGTAGATAAGAATCATTCAGCTTCACTAACAGAGCTTTAGAGTTGTCCATGGAGGCCAGGAACTATGCCCTTTGAGAGAGAACTCTGACTGAGGTTCTCAAAGGAGCTCATAGACTGAGCAGAGTTTATCCAGTAGCTATAGTCATGGGTGAATGATGTTTCAGTTTCTATTACTGTTTAACAAAAACACACAGTGGCTTGAAACAATGACAGTCGTTTTATTTTCTCTCTCGCATTCTGAGGGTTGACCAGTGTTATGGATTGTGTGATTAAATCCTCACCCCTATTACCTGCGGTTATAATCCCAGTTGGGAATGGGTTTTCTTTTTTTATGTTAATGAGATGGTATTAGTGTAGTCAATCTCTTTCAAGATATAAAGGAGATTAAACAAGCTAATGAGAAGCAGAGATGGAGGATGAAAGATGCCAAGCCACATGAAAATGGCCCAGGAACAAAATCTCAGAAAAGAAAAGGACCTTCCTCTAGAGCCAACAGATAGAGAAAGTTTTCCTCCAGAGTTGATGCTCTGAATTTGAAATTCTAGCCTCCTAAACTGTGAGAAAATAAATTTGTTCTTTTAAAACCATCCATTTGTGGTATTTCTGTTATAGCAGCACTAGAGAACTAAGACTACTGGGTTCACCTGGGTGGTTCTTGCTCTAAGGTTCTCATTTGGTTGTAGTGGCTGGAGCTAGGGGCATCTTAAAGGTTGCCTAACACATCTACTAGTGGTAGATGCTGGTTGTTAGCTGGGACCCCAGCTGTGCTGTTAATCAAAATGGCTATAGGTGATCTGTCCATGGGACCTGGGTTTCCTCATACCATACTGTCTGTGCCATGAGAGAAGAGGCAGCAGCTGCATGGCACTTTATGACCTCCCTTAGAAATAACAGAGCATCTTTCCACTGTGTTCTATTGGTCAAAGCAGTCACAAACCTACCCGTATTCAAAAACCAAAAAACCAAGCTTACTGCTGTTGAGTCAGATCCGACTCATAGTGACCTCTCCTTGGGTTTCCGAGGCAGTATCACTATGGAAGTAGATTGCCCAATCTTTCTTCCGAGGAGTGGCTGATAGGTTTGAACCACCAGCCTTCTGGTTAGCAGTCAAATGCCTTAGGCACTACACCACCAGAGCTCCACCGTCCCCAAAGGACAGGGATATTGATACCCCCTCTCAATGGGAGGAGTGTCAGAATACATTATAAGAAAGTTATATAGGGTCAGAGGTGTTGTTGCAGGCATTAAAGAAAATATCTGCTACAGAAGGCATAGTGGTGACTCTGTCCCATGGGGTGGAAAAGGTTATAATAACGATAATAAAAAGAAGTGTATGTAGGTTGTGGAGGGAGTTATAATAGGGGTCAATGAAGATTTCCTGAGTACTCTGGGTGGGGCTTTGAAGGAAGGAGAGGTGTTCTCCGTGTAGAGATGTAGTCAGGGAT